CACAGAAGAAGTAGCTATTTCTCTTGCTGATACTCACTAATGAGTTTTCCCGCTACTTTTTTGTTCTCTCTGGTCTCCTTTGGGTGACGACACAGATACATAACTCCTTTACCAATGCCGCTCATTTTTAGCGCTCTGCCGTCCATAGGCGGAAACTAAAGAAACAAGTGTAAGACAACTGATTAAGAATGAAACTACTTATAGTAGTAGTATCACTTATACAGCTTAAATATATACAGTGGAACCCCGCCTAACAATCACCTCGTTACAGTCACCTCATTATTAAGGCCACTCTTTTGTCCCGGCGAAATACCCATACATTATGATTTTCTTATGACAAAACCTCCTTAATGCGGCCACTCCATTAAAAAAGCCGCCGGCCACATTCTAAAATCCTAACCTATATAATCCTCTATAATTTTACCCCGTTTATACGGCCACTCAAACCAGCTATGTTCATCTTTCCATTGTTAATATTTTACAAGAACAGTTGTTTAGATGTGCAGTTGCTATATATCTGTTAAGACGTCACTCAATCTACACCAGTCATGAGGTTTGACACTACCCCGTTAATACGGCCACCCAGTGAATACGGCCAAATTTTCACGGCCCGTTGGTGACCGTATTAACAGGGTTCCACTGTAGTATCGTTTAGAGAAAACTCGTCCCCGCTGCTACTGAGACAAAAAGGATTTTCCAAGATAAAAAAGAAATGTATCCTTTAAACATTTATCAGTTTGCTCTACTTTTCAATCACTTCTCCAAGCGATTCACAAGGTCAAATTTGGCTAAAAACTAGAAAACAAAATAATAGTCGTGAGAACACACGCACTACTCTAGGCCGGTTAATCAATGGTAGTGGTTTATACATGATTAGCCAACCTAGCAAGCGTTCCCGCACGACGAGCTTTTCCCGCATTCTGGCCGCGCGTAATTTGGAGCGAGGGCAAAAAATCGACGAGTCAGGGGATGGTGGGGCAAGCGAGGGAACGCTTGATGTAAGATAACAGGGATAGACTAGTGAAGAGTTACCTCAGCCAACACTTTGAGTAATCCTTCCCGAATCTGCAGATGTGGTAATGAGCCGTCTGGCAAAGGACTAATCCACTCCTGTAGTGTGAAATAAAATAAGCCAAAGATATCGTTCATGACTTACTAAAAGAAAAAACTTTGAATTTAAACTGAATCGTCATGAAACAAAGATTTCAGGTTTTGGGTATTTTAAAAATCTAGCATTGTGATTTTAACATGATTTTACTGGTTGAAAATTATAGCATTCATGCCAACCTTCAAAACATTTAAAACTCCAAGATCAAGGAATGTCATTTGTAAATCAGCCCTGAAAAAGGAGATAGAAAAACAGTCATAATTAGACAAAAAATATCACCGCATAAAGCAGATAATAGAGATCTGTCTAATCTCTACGACTTACGCGCTTAAAACATTGCCAGTGACAAGCGGAGAATTAGCCTGCGAATGCAGACGTATTTCCGGCTGTCGCTTGTCTCCGCCGAAAATAACGTCTGCGAACCCGAGCCAGGAAACGATTTCTGTGATGTAGGAATTTTAAGCCAATCACAGTTTAGCTCAAGTAGCCCCAGAACTACTGCGCGAAGTATTCGCTGCGAGGAGCACTCGAGTTTCATTCTATCATGGAATCTGATTGGCCAAAGAGAAACAAAAGTCATTACGTCACAGAAACCGTTTCCTGGCTCGGGTTCGCAGACGTTATTTTCGGCGGAGACAAGCGACAGCCGGAAATACGTCTGCGTTTGCAGGCTAGTGGAGAATGTAACGAATTGAAAATTTCAATTTAGACACATTTGCTGGCTGGGTAGAAGAGTTGTTATTTTGAGGTGACAGTGACATAAACTGGCATGATTTGGCATAGCCTTCTGCGACCAGGCTCTCACGTGTCGCGGCCGGAGCAAAGTCGCCAGAGACGAGTCAGCAAGCGAAGCAAGCTGGTGAGGGGCCTGTCACGCCGCTTCACCTGGCGACTCTCTTTTCGTTCGGTGACAGCTTCGCTCGTGCCACTAACAAAGAAAGCCTGCTCGCAGGCTAGATTTGGCACTTCCTGACGTGAAGTCATGATCCATTCAGGAATCCAAACTCTTTTTTCGCACTAACTCATGGTCAACTTCATTGGGCGTGGCCAAAGTGGAAACTTTGAAAGCTCGATTTGAGGGCGAAAGAGCGTCGGAATCCAATTTTTTTTTATTAGACTACCTTTTTATACATTAAAGAGATACCAAAACTACAAAAATCCTGTTGGGTGTGTAGACACTTTAACCAAAACTACAAAAATCCTGTTGGCTGTATGGACATTTTAACCACTGTAGTGAGTTTGTGAAGCCGATGTTTTGAACATTAGCCTTTCATCAGAGCAAAGTTAAGTACTTGTAAACAGTGAGTTATTCTGGGTACATTTTACCAGTTATGGTTTTGAATTCCTATATTATATTTTGGTCTTCTGTTTTCTAAAACAGAGGTACATAAATGTGTGTGTTGTTATACAGACTCACTTGTGTAGGTGCCTTAAAACAGATGGAAGCATCTTGAGTTTCTTGGTAGCAGCTTGCTTTGCACCATTTAGCATTCTGTCCTCCTAAATGAATAAAAATAATGCATGGAAACATAAGGTCTGAGTACCATGACATGCCACAAGCGAAATACATTTCCCAGATAAATTTCAGAAAAAGTCACCACATTTGGCAACTTAAATTCACTTATTATAAATATTAAATAAACCCATTAATGGTTGAAATCTGGATGGACATTCCCCCCACCAACCCTCTCTCCTAGTCTACAGTGTATATATATAGGATTAATGAATTACACCTAACCCTAACCTCTTTTCTAAACTTGATCCAAGTACCCAAATACTCTAACAAGACCTAGAATGCACATTAACTAACAACAAAAAATACCTCTGCAGCCTCCTTCATCTGGGTAATCATACGTGCTATTGCATCATCACTGTCACTTATGATATCAACATTCTACAAAAACCATCAAATGTATTTACATGTAAATAACAGGGCACAGACGTTTAAATTACACTTTTTAAGATAATGTGACAAGTCCAAAGTTTGCTGAGAAAATTCAACTCATCAAATTTCTTTCAACACGTTTTGCACTTTAATAGCAAGTCGTGATTGATGTTGATGTTTTACTTCAATTTTACCCATGGTACAATTTCTTTCTGAATCAGTGCAAAGTTTTAAACTTCATCTAATCCAAATTATTATTAAAAATTAATTAAAAAGTTATTACCTTTCTTTTCTTTCTAAAAGTCTTGTTCATCTGTTCAAAAAAAAAAATATTACATGCTGTTAGTATCAATTTTCAGGACTGCTACTGAAAACATTGCAGTCCTCTCCCAAAAAAACTCCNCCCCCCCCCCATCGTATTTCCTGGAACTGCAAATTATTATTTTTAGTTAGATTCAATAGAACCATCAATGTTCAATAAATAGTTGTTCATGAAAGATTCTTAAGCAGTGCTGGAAATCATTTTTTATTAGCAGGATGTGTCTTTTCAAGTCTCTGTTTTGGCCAGACATGAATATTTGGCCAGATATATTGGACCAGGGGTGTAAGTGGCAAAACTACAAGAGTCGCACACATGAGATGAGACATGTCAGCCCTAGTTCCTTAAGACCTTTGTGTCGTTCTTAATTCACTTGTGCACCAAAGAGAAAAGCCAGAAAGCAGTGCCTGAGCATGAAACCCAGATGTTAGAGCCTGCTCGCAGGATACCAGGCATATTACAAATTTTGTGAGACATTTTTTTACTGTAATTTGCATACACAAATAAACTGACAACTCAATCTGTAGTTATACAAGTAGTAAAAAGAATGCTTAGCAATTCACTGTGGGGCGACTTTCAAAGCAGATTTTCGTTTTATATTTTATGCCACTCTGGAGAAATATAAGCAAACCAAACCATGGAACTGTATGATTTGTGATGTTTACATGTTTCAAAGCAAACATGGTCTGCAATGTTCAAGATCTTCAAAACTAAAAGCTAAGTCATTTTGGCACTCAGTCATGATATCTGATCATAATGTAAAACTAGTCATTACAGGCAAATTCAAAATTTGGTTGGACAAAAATGAAGCTTAAATGAAGTATAAACAAATATTTGGGGTCAATTGAAATATCATTAAAATACCTCTTTCTTCTTCTGGATCATCAGGTCAAAATCTGATACAAATCTATGAAGAAGAGACAACAACATGAAATGTGAATCTGTTTAGACATCGAAAGTGTGTTCTTCAAATATCTGAAATGTCACTTACGCTGGTCTGTCGTCAAAAGCATCCTCATCACTATCACTGCTGGCCCCTTTATTGGATTTCGGTTTCGGCACTTTCATTGTTTCAGTGATATCCTTTTCAGCCTTTCCTTCTTCATCATCCACCTCTGATCCAACAGACAACAAGTGATGCTTTCTGTCCCTGGCTATAAACAGCAACAAGAAGAAAATGAACTCTTGGCTGTGAATGTGCTATTAACAACTACAGAAACATAAAGTCAGGGGTTTCATAAGGGCTGCGCACCAGGCAAATTGACCGGCTGTGAGGATGTTTTTGGCCACCTGGTTTGACCACCTGGAGGTATGTTTTTCTTATAAAGAAGTTTGGTTCAAAGCATTTTGCCTGCCCGTGTAAACCAGTTACTCTCCTTCTGAAAACGATAATGAAACCCCTGTAAAATACATATTTTTTGTGAAATCTTAACTAAAGCCAATTACTAATCTTTACCTCCTTTCTTCTTCTTAGTCACCTCAATATCTTCTTGACCAAATCCCTAAAAAGCAGCACACATATCTTAAATATAGTACATGGAAGTATACGAGTCAGATAATCTACACTTGTCTTAGGCAGCCTATAGCTATGGGTTAACAACTGCATCACTAAATGGAGGTTGGGAGCCCGAGTCATCCAGGAGCTTCCACTATTGGCAGCCAGCTCCTAGATGGAGACTGCTACCATGGCTTGCATTCTGATCATCAACGAGGAAAAGTAAACCAAGATAATTCATCTGGCGACAATTTAACCCAGTGCATATCACCAATTATCTGGCTTTGTGGAGGCACGGTGGACTCATGGTTAGTGCTCTCGCCTCTGGATTGAGCAATCCAGGTTCAAGCCCTAGCCCAGGTCATTGTGCTGTGTTCTTAGGCAAGACATTTTACCCTCACAGTGCACCAGTGCCTCTCTCCACCTAGTACGTGTTTGAGTGGGTAACAGTGAATTTAATGCGGGGGGTAACCCTGTGACGGACTAGCATCCCATCCAGGGAGGACTAGAAATCCTAATCACTAAATGCTACTGAAACCAGAGATAAGCACCAGCCTGATGGGCCACTTGGCTGGTATGCTGACTTTTTCTTTATCTACAAGCTTGCTAATACAGAGCATATGCATGATCACATAAATTATCCTGTCTATCTTACCACAAATTCCTCCTCTTCGTCACTAGCACCAAAAATGTCTGCAATCAACTGCTCTCCTGCCTCCTCACCAGACTCCAACCTAGTCACCACAAAATATCAAGAATTATAATCCATCAAATATTTTTGCTTGTGTGTGATTGGTCTAAATGCATCATGTGACTGAATATTCCCCAGCTTAAACTGCAGAATATCTAAGTGATATTCCCCAATATTATTCAGTACTATTTTCAAAACTGTGTGTGTTGCAAAAAATATTTGAAGGATAACAAACACAATAGCCTCCATTGGGCGCAAAAATATGCTCGGATATTTGTCCTTGAACATTATCTGTTACTTGAAGATAAAACTGTTCACTTCTTGGAACAGATACTATCAGTGGACAAATAGCATATTTCTGCTCCAAATAGAGGCTATTGTTTATATATGTACATGTCAGCGAAACTTCTCTCTCCTCATGGCATTTTGAGAAAGAAGGGATGGAGGTGAATCCCATTTGCAGAGTGGACATCAACATGCTGTTGCTTGCTGGTACAATATGCCAGTGCAGTTGAGTGGCGAAGACTAAATAAATAAATAAATTATCGAAAAAGAAGAACAGAATCCTCTAGACTTCTGCCTATAACCAATCCTCTTACCCTTGTCTGTGTTTCTTATTTGCCAAAGAGGAAACAGCCCCATCCAGATTGGTTAATGTAGAATGTACAGATTTTACAGTCAAACCAAGTGAAGCATACCCCTCAAAATTGCATTAATGAGTTGATTATTTGAATATTGAACCCACTAGTCATTTCAAGAATGCAATAATGAATTGATTATTTGAATACTGAACTCGCTAGTCATTTCAAAAATCAATATTAACATTAAACCCACTAGCCATATTCTTGGAACGACCAGAGTGTACAGTACTTAAAATAAGCATCAAATGTGTATCTCCAGGAGACTATCAAGGTTTATAAATATTTTCTTAACTTATCACTAAAACATTATTTTATTCCAATCCAAAGGTCCAAGTTAGCATGCAGGACAGCTTATGAACTGAGATATAATTCTGACGATTTTGCAGTACGTCAAGATAATAAAATTATTCCCTGGTTAAAGGTTTTCTTTTATTCTCATCACATGACTGCTCGAAAACATATTGATATTGTTATGGGAAATTAGATGTTGATCAGAACTGGAGACACAGGGTTCAAAAAAAGTGCCGGTCATCTGGGACAAGTAGATTTTCCTTCTGGGCAAGTAACTTTTCATTCCCACTTGCCTGATGGACAATGGATCAGGTATGTCACCTGCCAACTAAATCATTAAAAGAGCAAACTAAGACTTGTACAGGGCAAGCAAAATTTGAGAACTTCTTGTCCCAAGGGCAAGCTGGAATTCAAGTTTTTTTTAAGCCCTGAGACACTAGTTTACAATGTACTGGAAACCCCTACCCTTCATCTTGCTCCACTGCTTCACTCTCGGCAAAACTTTTCTCTTCCTTGGTTTCTTCTTCATAGTCATTTTGGTCTACAAACAAAACAAAATCACCAAAGAATCTTAAGCTCCTGACCTGACTAAGCTCCTGACCTGATTAAGTTGCCCTTACACAATTATTGTGTATTGACAACTTAGTCCAGTCAGCAGCTTATAAGGTGATTGTATTTATGTAGTATCCCAAGGAAAAGGGATACTCCCTTAACACTACATGTATGCAGGGATTCGGGATTGCTGTTGAACACATTAAGTGCTTACCCTGTATAAGACAGTATCTGTACAAACTGATTCCAGATTGAATCTAGTAATGAAAATTATTGGTCATTTCCATCATTTAGTAACTAAGAGAGGTTCCTGGAATTCATACATGTGCCTTTATTTAGACTAGATTTTGGCCCTCTTCCTGGCTAAAGCTGCTCAAAAGGTTTGTGTACAAGACCAAATAAAGTTGTTGTTGGTGTTGTATTGTATTCCAGACTATAATACTGGAAATCCACATAAGGCAATACATATACAGAAGGGAGCTTAAAGGAGACTGCTCCTGCAAGGCATGTTACTATAATGACATTATTATTAACCTAGCCAAGGTTGCAAGATTTTTCAAATTGCTGATCCTTGCAGAGAATAAAGTTTGCTTGTTGCCATCCCTAAAAGCTACTTTGAAAGCAAATTAGCCTGTACTTTAGTGTTTGCAAGAACACTTGCAGGGCTCAAAATACTATTGCAACTGATGCAGGTGTATTTACAGCCAAATTTTCACTTATAATATAAGTGAAAATGTGTCTAACTTTACACGTCTCAAAAAATTACACTTGCTCCTGGTTGTGTTTCTAGCAGCTCTTTGGTTTAATTTAAAAGATACAATTTGTCAGTTAGATTTGTCAGCCATAATAAACAATTTACTTTACTTCATATATACTATAACATAAACACTGCACAAGTGAATAGTGTTTTCACACATTCTGATTACTTAACTCCTGGGCGATAAGCAAAGTACTAATCACCTCCAAGCAGAGATTGTGAAATTTCCAACCATTTGCTGGTTTATTGTCAGAAATGAAGTAAATTGTTTGGTCCACTAGTGCGGTATATACTAAAACAGTTATTCACCACAATGTCGGTATGAGTGGTAGACATTTACATTGCCACTTTACAGCTCAGTACATATCTACCAACATTATATGGCAAGGTAGTCTTGGGGTAAATCTAAGCATTCTGATTGGCACTTCAGGGTCCAAAATTAACTTTTTTTGGCAGGCGCCAACTGGTGACTGAAATTTTTTTTCAGTCACCATATGGAGAAATGTGGTCGCCAAAAAGTGTCAATGAAATTTTTTCTTCACAGCAAAACACAAACCAAAATTTTTGGTCGCCACGTGCTTGCTGGCAAAATATTTGCAATCAATGTAATCAGGAATCAAACCTGTGCTGAAATCATCTGTTGACCACTTTGACAGATCTATATTTCCACCTTTTGACGCCCAGAGAATATCTAAATCTTCATCTAATTTCTTCGCGGATGTTCCGTCTCCACTTCGTAATAAATTACGGAAAGATTTCACAACATCTTTGGACACTACATCACCTGAATAAATATTCATGGCGAAAGAACTCACTAGGCCTATTATGCCTGCAATACGTATGTTATGGGAAACCGCTGAAAAAACATGGAGGCGAAGCTTTGCACTGATCGTAGCTATAAACGTTGTGGTAGATTTAAAATAACAGCAAAATCGGTTTTATACTTCAAAAGCAGCGGAAAGGTAAAATGGAAGTGACCAACTGGTAGGCGGCTTTGAATTTTATTTTAATCGATTTGGCTGAAAATCAAAGTTATTGTTTGTGCAATTATCGTGGCATGAAATAGTTAATTGCCCACTGGTGACCAGTTGTGAAATTCTGGTTGCCAGTGCAAAATTTTTAGTCGCATTGGCAACCAGGAAAGGGCAATTTCGGACCCTTCTCTTTCTTGTCGGGATTTTGTTATTTGAATAGTTTTCTTGGAAAGGGTTGCGAGTCGTGTATTTTTTGTTTTTGAAAGCTCGCAAATTCAAAACCAATGCCATATACTAAACTACTTACTAACCAAGCTTGCTCAAGCCTTACTGGGGACTATTGGCCCCTGGTCATTTTTGTAGGGACCTTGCTGAGCTTGGTCCATACTGCCACAACCTCTACACAATATTTCCCAGTATGGCCCTCAAGCTCAGTTCGTCCAATTTGGTGAGTAATATATTGTTAAATATATTACACAAACATTCCTGCTAGTACATAAAAAACACATTAATTTAGCACAGTAGGTTGAATTAAAACCAGTGAAGCCTGGTTCATAGGATATTTGCACAAGTGATTAAGTCATGATAACATTATTACTGTATTATACCTGCTGCTTCTTCCTGAGTCTCGTCTTTGTTATCCGGAAGAAGTTTGGAAACATCACTTTTAAGAATATCCTCAACTATCTCTGATTCTGGTCCTGAAAGTCCAAGCCCAAGAGGTGAGATTGGCATTTCTAAATCATCGTCCGTGGCCGCCCCTGAAGAAATCGTTCGCCTCCTTTCTGTTGGCTCTTCTGCATCATTTGAATTTCCACCACTTTGTCCCTCGTTTGTCTCTTCAGTCATTTCTCTTAGAACAGATTCCTGACTAGAAACCTCACGTTTATCTTTATCGCCATCCAATCGTTCTTGTTTGCGTTCAAAGTCTGAGGTAGTTTCTGTGTGTATTTGTGCAGCTAGCGACGGAGATTCCTCCTCGTCTGAAACAGCTTCACGTTCAACTTTGCCAAATAGAGTCTCGTGCTCTTCAGCTGTGGCCGATGTTGATGAAACTGGCGACATTTCTTGATCATAGAGTGGACTACCGCTTTGTTTTTCCTCCTCTGGGCTATCCTCCTTTTCATTAATTTCCTCTTCGACAGGAGAATTCAAACTACCATTGTCGTTGCTATTTTCAGACTGCTGTTTCGGGACTTCGTCTTTTGTCTTGTCTTCATCCTCGTTGTCAGAAATATCGCTAAAACCTGGCGCATCTGGCGAATCACCGCCATGATGGATTCCAGGTGTTGGCGGCTTTTCTAGATCTTCGTCTCCTGAATCGATGTCCTCAAAGGGATCTGCGACGCTATCGCCCATTCTTTTTGAGGATGGGATCTCCTCTTAACCTGCTAACTGTCTTCTTTATGGAAGAGATACTAACCTTTCTTCAGTGGACAACGATCACGTTTTGGTCTTCCACAACACAACCGAGAAACTTAAATTTCCGCTTAGCTTCCAAGCCTTTGATTACCGAGGGAAACTGGGTTGAGCGGTTCCAGTCTCTCACCTACCCGCTTTGCTGGCACAAATGCATTATCGGTGAGGTAAGCGCTGAGGCGACTGTTTTTCATGCGTCTGTCCTGTTGTTGACAATAAATTCCGTCATAACATTGTCAAATCAGTCTGCAGATTCACTCGGCTATTATTGTGAAGTGTGGATCCACGAGACGATATAGCCAAGTGGATCCACAGACTACTTTGAAAATGTTATGACGAAATTCTTCTCAATAACAGGACAGACGCATGAAAAACTAATGTCGATATTGCTTTTTACAATAACAAGTTGTCAAATTGTCCGCTCTCGCTTGTTGACGCATCGCATAAATTATAAATTCATGTGTCTGTCCGCTTATTGACAATGAAATTTAGCCAATAAGCGCGCGAGAATTTCCGCAGTTATCGTAAAACTATAAATGTAGCGCCGCCGGATTAGATACATAATGTGTAAATAAATTTCTGCATTTGTTTAGGTTACGTGTAACAATTAGAGTCTTTGTCTACCATTCGAATTAGTTGAGTTCAAGCACCAAACGCGGAAAGTAATTTTTTGCGTGGTTGGTTGCATTTTTCAGGCAGTGCATCACCTCCTCATCTCACTCATATTATACTGAATTACCAAATGAGGTCTCGTTTCTGAGAATTGAAAGCCCCTCACCTAATAAGGACGGGGTTTACGTAAAACTTGAAACCTGGAACGAAGACCTCTTACCAGTCCGAACTGCGCAGTCTCAGCACCCTAACGTTTATAATTATAAACATTATAAGATCTCACTCGATGGAATGCGAATCGATGTTATTTGTTACGAACCACATACCTTATCTTTGAGGCCTTTCAAATTTCTTTGATTTTCAGCTTCATTGATTTTTACAGCTGTGAAGTTGTTTCATCAAGTGATATGAGAAAGAACGAAGCATAAAGCTTCGACCGCTTCGCATTCATAATGGCGGTTGTTTTGAAACTTTGAATTTAATTAATGTAAGTAGTTGCGGAATGTTTACATTTTATGGTGTCTTATATGAAACAAAACAACCCCCCCCCCAAAAGACTCTCGAGGATGCGCAGTACGGACTAGAAATCATCTTAAAAGCTGCTTTGTCTACAAACCTGCCACGACGGTGTCTATACCTTGCCGTTGGAGCCCGGCAAGTTCAACCATGCCGGATAGGTCTAGGGTGAGGAGCCAGACGAAATAAGGCACCCTGGTCCTCCCGGTAGGGGGTTTGGCGCAGGGCTGACAACCCTATCCCGTAAAACACTAAGTGCTTTTGAAAACTACATGGCCTTATGTGCCCCAGGGCTTGAAGAGGATTGAGAGAGTGCCGGAGTAAGTTGTCATGTCGACAGGGCAACAAGTAGATGTCCATTGAGGGGTCTCGTCACGAAATTCAAAGTTGCCCAGTCAAGGCCCCGCCAAACGGTCGCAACATTTTGCAACATTGTGCATAACATGTATGTTGCCCAAGTTCCCCATCCTGTTTCAAGATGTCTGCTGGTGTCGGCCATATTACTATCCATATTACTATGGGGGAGGCCCGGGGGTGGGACAATCTACAATGAGACTCCATTCATGCGAAAGTGCATCCCGGATTGTTTCCTCCATATATTACTATTTAGGTATGTGCCGCAGGATACGGTACGGTTTTAAGGTTTCCGATCCTTAAATAGGGTATTATTTTTGCCCCTGTTGGTATCGTGTTCCCGGTGTAATCCTTAGATAGGGTGCCTAAATTGTATCAACGTGAATTCCATTTAAATTAATATGTGCCCTCGTTACTCTCGAACGCAATCACCTCGACAATGGCGTCATGACACCAAAACGTCGGTTTTTATCGTTATTTTTGCTTGCCTATGCATTTCGAAATCACTACTGTTAAGGTGGCGAACACAGTTTTCGCGCGCGCTTTTGCTGATGCAATCCAGCGCGCGCACAAGGATTGCAAAAAACAAACATACCGTCAATAGAGCGATCATTTTATTTACTCAACACCCGCACTATCTGTGCTATTTTTCCCTATAACCGTGACTGAACGCAGTGTGTTGATGGCTTTAGTCTTTTATCACAAAGATATGTCAGAAAAGATAACGATGCAAAGAACCCAACAATTCTCAGCTTTTTCTTTGTTACCGAAAGAACCCAGTTAAATGCAGCGCATGCGTAGTAAGTCAAAAAA